AAGATCAGATAAAATGCGTGGTAGTATCTCTACTCCTTTGTATTTGCTAAGAGTTGCCCTGTGACATAATATATGGTCTATTTTTGAGAAGGATCCATGTGCTGCTGAGAAAAAAAGTGTATCCACTTGATATTGGTTGATATATTCTATATATGTCAATTAAGTCTAAGTTATTAATTGTGTTATTGAGTTCTATAGTTTCTTTATTCAACTTTTGTTTGGAAGATCTGTCCAGTTGGTGTGAGAGATGTGTTAAAATCACCCATGATTATTGTGTTGTGGTCTATTTGACTCTTGAACTTGAGAAGGGTTTGTTTGATGAACGTAGCTGCACATTGTTTGGTGCATATATATTAATGATTGTTAAGTCTTGTTGGTGTATGGTTCCCTTGAACAGTATGTAATGTCCTTCTTTATCCCTTTTGATTAACTTTGGCTTGAAGTCTATTTTATTTGATACAAGTATGGACACCTCTGCTTGCTTCCGAGGTCCATGTGAGAGGTATGATTTTTCTGAACCTTTCACCTTCAGTCTGTGTATGTCTTTTCCTATCAGATGAGTCTCCTGTAGGCAGCATATTGCCTACAGGAGTTGGATCTTTTTTTAATCCAGTCTACTTGCCTATATCTTTTGATTGGTGAGTTTAAGCCATTAACATTGAGGGTTACTATTGAGATATGGTTTGTATTTGCTCTTATATTTGTTTATTTTTGTTATTTAACTTGATTTGTTTTTCCTCTTTGATTAGTTTTTCTTTACTGTGCTGCCTCCCACTGTTGGTTTTCTTTTTTTTTTTAACTTTTTTTAAGAGAGAGGAGAGAGAGAGAGAGAGAGAGAGAGAGAGAGAGAGAGAGAGAATTTTTTAATATTTATTTTTTAGTTTTCGGTGGACACAACATCTTTGCTTGTATGTGGTGCTGAGGATTAAACCTGGGCCGCACGCTTGCCAGGCGAGCATGCTACCACTTGAGCCACATCCCCAGCCCTCCCACTGTTGGTTTTCATTGTTATTTTTTATTTCCTCTTCATGTAATGTTTTGCCAAGGATGTTTTGAAGAGCTTGTTTTCTAGCTGCAAATTCTTTTAACTTTTGTTTATCATGGAATGTTTTTATTTCATCTTAAAACCTGAAACTTAATTTTGCTGTATACAAGATTCTTGATTGGAACCCATTATCTTTCAGCATCTGAAATACGTTGTTCCAGGATCTTCTAGCTTTTAGAGTCTGTGTTGAAAGATCAGCTGTTAACCTAATTGGTTTGCCCCTTAATGTAGTCTGCTTCCTTTCTCTTGTGGCTTTTAAAATTCTCTTCTTGCTCTTTATGTTGAGCATCTTCATTATAATGTGTCTTGGTGTGGATCTCTTGTGATTTTGCACATTCAGCATCCTGTAGGCTTTTAGGATTTGTATTTCTGTTTCACTCTTCATGTCTGGGAAGTTTTCTATTATTATTTCATTGAACAGATTGCTCATTCCTTTGGTTTGGACCTCTATACCTTCCTGTATCCCAATAACTCTTAAATTTGGTCTCTTTATGCTATCCCATATTTCTTGGATGTTCTGCTTGTGGTTTCTTATCAGTGTCTCTGTGCTGTATACATTCTTTTCGATATGATATACTTTGTCTTCGTTGTCTGATGTTCCATCTTCTAAGAGTTCTACTCTGCTGGTGATACTCTCATTTGAGTTTTTAATTTGGTTTATTATTTCCTTTATTTCCAGGACTTCTGTTTGGTTTTTTTGTATAATCTCTACCTCCCCATAGAGTTGATCTTTTGCTTCTTGGATTTGTTTATGTAATTCATTGTCAAAGTTATCCTTCATTGTCTGCATTTGCTGTCTAAAGTCTTCCTTGAGACTCCAGATCATCTGAACCATGTATATCCTGAAATCTTTATCTGACATTCCTTCTGCTGATATGTTACCTCTTCTAATGTTGAATTGTCCTGCATCATTTGTGGTCCTTTCTTTCCTTGTCTTTTCATACTGCTCACGTTTTTTTCCAGCTCTGTGTGACTGTTGTGTTAATGTTTTTTCCCTATATATTTATATTGCTCTTGTATAGTTCCAAAATCTCTCCAATCAGCCGCAGAACTGCGCTGGTAGCCACGCCCACCAATAGATGGCGAGTAAGGTTTTACAAGATGGATTCCGCCTGTTTTCTGCATAGGATGTTTGTTGAGGTGGGGGGTGCTGGGGTTACCTTGTGCTGTGTTCAGAGCTCGGTCTGGTGACTCACAAGCAAAGCCTCTGCGGTCTGCGCTGATCACGCTGAGGGTTCACAGTAAAAATATTTCATTATTTTCCTGTCTTACATTCTTTCTTAGTACCGTTATTATGAACCTCAGCCCCCAATGGCTGCTGCTGCCACCCACAGTTCACCTCTCAGGCTGCTGTCACCACCTTCAATTTCAATGATTGATTAGAAGGACTCAGAGAATTCAGGAAAGCTCTTAACTGATGGTTATGATTTGTTGTTGTGAAAGACACAGATTAAAATTAACCAAGGTAAAAGGAGCCTAGGGATGAGTCCAGAAGGGAGATCATGCACAAACTTCTAGTTTGTTTTCTTCCAATATAGTTGTAAAGGTAGTTTTTAGTTCTCCCAGCAATGATGAATGACACCTTCTGAGTAGTACTGCCAACCAGGGAAACTCATCTGAGCTTTGAGGTCCAGTGTTTTTAGTAGGCATGGAGTATTTGTATGGCTGACCTTAGTCATTCAGTCTCCAGTTCCTGTAAAAGTCAGACTAATACCATTGTGGCTGGAGGTCCCCCCCCACCACCACCACCATAAGTCATATCAGTAGCATAAAATGTCATATGTGGCCCAAGTTTCCAATAACAAAATTACATTCTTCTCAGGAATGATATTCCAAGGGCTCAGGGAAGATCATTATTCCAATGATCTTCCAAGAGTGATCAAGTGCTAGGCCTTTATTTGGATTGTGCAGGGTTTGAACATTCTGGATCTGATGATTTAATCATTAACTAGGGTATTTTAAAATTTGGTAAGGGTAGTTGGTAGTGGTGAAGATCATTCTTGGCAATAATAGTGCCATAAGAATTATAAGAGGGGTGTAAATTATTACATTGGGTAGGAAAATAAACTCAATGGTACATAGTTTTAGTTCCCTTTATAATACTACCCAGTTTGGGAACTAAACAAACCATCTCATTCCAGCAAACTGTCTTTCAGTTGCTGTGAATGTTTCACTGTCCTCCATTCTCTTGGTAGTCTTCACACGGTCTCACTAATTCTATCTTTAGTGAGGCAACTAAGTTGTGATATGCATTCACTTTGCATTTATGTGATAATGCTATTTTTAATTTTTTGAAAATTATACTTTGACAATTGCAATCATTTATGCACTCTGATTGATAGTCAACCTCACTGACTTTTTGGTGCTGAGGGAGATCTCCTTTGTGGGAATCTGAAGTGAGGGAAACAGGAAGCTAAAACTTAGTACTCCATTGCTCGGAAAGTCCCTTTTGTAGGCATTTTTATTTTGTCTGCTAAGAACCCTCTCCTTCAGTAGCCTAATAGCTGGGCATCACCCACTTAGCCTGTTTCTCATGAATGTGGACAGAGAATTGGGTGGAAGAAGTTAAATTTAGAACTTGGGGATTTGGTATCTAGAGGCAGAAATATTAAGGTTACAATGTAGATACAAGGAAGGCTCACATTCAATAACCAGAGCCCCACAAGATATCCAGACTTAGTTACTGGTGTGTGATCATCAGAAATTGGTATCAACAGTGGAAACCTGAAATTTTAAGAGAGTTTCACAGAGGGACAAAGTCTTAGGTATATAAGTGTGCTCAACTTTTGTCAGTCTTCATGACTGTAGCCACAAAACATGCACACCTTTATTAGTGGGATGACGGCCAGTGTCTCATTAAGGAGTCTTTCTTCCTGCCCAGGATAATACAAGCCACCCTAAGACTTACAATCTCAAATAATTAGTAAATAACAAAGCACAAATACTCAGAAATATATTTACAGAAAGCAAAGCCCCATCTCTTTGAGGTGGCAGAAGTTGAGGAGAAGATCATTCTGGTCATTGATATCTGGCCTCTGCAAAATATTGACTGATTAAGGCCATGCTCGCTGTGGATGTCTGGGGGAGAATGGAAATGCTTACTAAAGGCTGATGTATTAGTTTGTAAGGCAGCTATCACAGAGTTGCACCAGCCAGTGTCTTAGACAACAGAAACCTATTGTTTCACAGTTCTGAAGCTAGAACTCAAGACCAAGGGACCAGCAGGTTGGTTCCTACGGAGGGAGAATCTGTCCTGTGCCTCTTGCCAACTTCTCGTGGCTTCTGACAATGTTTGTTGTTCCTTGACTTGAAGAAACGCCACCACCACCTCTGCCTTCATGCTCACAGAGCGTTTCCCTGTGTGTAGTCTGGGTCCAAGTTTTCCCTCTTTTGTGAGGACATCCGTCGTGTGGTGTAGGGCTCACACTTCTGTAACCTGACCCTATTTTCACATAGGGTCACAGTCTGAGATACTGGAGGCTGGAACTCCAACATCTAAATTTGTGGGGATACAATTCACCCTGTAACAGACAGCTTAGGCAGAAGTTCAGGTCAGGGTGGTCTTCTTTCCTGAATTCTCCATTTTCTATCTCCGACTCGTTTCCCTCCATCTCTGCTATGACTAAGAGAGGACTTTCCCACCTCCAATTTTTTTTTGAGATATTTTTTTTCCATGAAAAATGCTGGGACTCTTTCCCAGTGCTTATCTTTTAAAAATGACACAACTGGTGTTGTCTCTAGTCCCGCCCCCACAACAGCCCCCTTGAAGGACTTTGAAGGGTTCTGACAACAGGGACCAGGACTCGAGCTTTCTCTTCTTTCACCATAGTACCCCCATCTCTCCTCTCTTCCCAGTACTAAATGCACAGTAGGAACACAAACAAAAGCTTTGTAATGTACTTGAATTTAGACTATTCTTTCCCTTCTCCTTCCTGAGAAATAGAACAGAGATTCATTTGGTGGGACAAATCATCACACTTTATTTCTTGTGAACAAAACATTTTCTAGAGAAAGCACTATAAATGTTAACATTGGAATCATTGGAAACAATGTGAATAGATCAATTTTGATAAAGGGATAATTTCTCAGAAATATGTCTCTTCAGATCATTGAACTTTATTTATAATCAACTGATCTTGGAACAACAAGTTTTGAAAAGCTCTCTAAAACCCCCCTGAAAGTGACCTGATATGAATGAATAAAATGTATTTCTCTAGTTGAATTGAAAATAGGTGTATCTTTATAGCTGAGTTCTAATAATCATATTCACTTGTTAAAAATTTACACACAGTAAAATTATTAGTGTTCTTTTGAACTTGCTACTGTTTTAAAATTCATATTATCCCACTCTTCAGGTCTTAAGAATAATAATTTTATAAGGTCTCATCTACCAATGTTTTTGAAAGCCTCCTTTAAAAATTCCTTCTTTTAAAATATCTTTCTTTTGACTATTTTCTGGTACAGGGTTCATTGGTGTATGTTGGTTGCTTCAAGCCACTTCACACAATGGAAGGTGCATGATGAACTAGGGCAAGAGTAATGATAAGACACAGCTGGATTACCAGGGTGCTGGGGTCCCATAAAGATGCATCAGTGAACCAGTAACTATCCATCCTTCAAACTAGCTAAAAGCTAAACAGGCACACACTGCATAGAAATGAACAGTAACATGAAAGACTTTGCTTACAACTGTTTAATAAGCTCAATTTTAAGACTTTTCTACATTTCTTCCTTATCTACTCAAGATGCAAGAAATCACTTGTTTGTTAATAATATATGAGGAAAGGACTGGGAATGTATCTCAGGGACAGAGCATTTGTCTAGCACAGAGGCCCTGAGTTCAATCCCCAGCACCACAAAAACAAACAAAATAACAATAAAAATAATGCTTGTGTGGTCTTCTCTAAGCTGTACCTGTATTGCGATCAGTGCCAAACCATCAGGCCACTGCCAGCACCCTGGCCCATGCCAGCTCCCCACCCTCTTTGCCGTCCTGTTAAAGGTCTAAGAACCCAAGACTACTTTTGATAATGCCCATATCCATGTGTTATTTGTCTTTATATGTTGCCTTTCAAATATTTTCTAAAGTCTAATGTTTTTCTGTCTGGAACCTAGAAGACACTGATCTAAAAAATATACTACTAGATAATTACTGAGTTATTTCAGATTTAAACATTTTTTCTTCATAGCTAAGTAAAGGTCACAAAAGATAAGTGTGGAACATTTTCATCATTACGCCATCTGAGGACACTGAAACCCCTTTTATTTCCATATCCAGGAAACTCCAGCCAAGGCGCCGACACCCAAGAGAGAGGGAAATCCGGGAAGTCCTCCCTGAAGTCAGTATTCGTCATGAAAGGGGTACTCAGGGTGATCACACCACCTGCCAAAACAGTTTTACCAAAGGAAAAGGGTTCACTCAGCTGCGAGAATCCCATGACCTCCCCCACCTCCTGCACTGGCCTGTTTCTCTCCCTCCTCTTTCCCCAGTTCCCCTCTGGCCAGCACCTTTACCTGGGGCTCTAGACAGCACCCTGGATGTGAGAGTAGGTGGCAGGGGAGAGGGACACCACATTGGCCACACTGGCCTTCTGCTATGAACCAAAGCACAGTGCTGAGTTGGCATGTGAAGTATTATTATTACCTGCCCATGTGCCAGGGTTTAGATGTGCTGTCCCCCAAAAGCTCGCGTGTGAGACAATGCAAGAAAGTTCAGAGGAGAAATGATTGGGTTGTGAGAGTCTTTACCCTGTCAGTGAATTAATCCCCTGATAGGGATTAACTGAGTGGTATCTGAAATGGTAGGGTGTGGCTGGAGGAGGTGGGAACTGGGGCGTGGCTTTGGGGGATATATTTGCATCTGGATAGTAGAGTCTCTCTGCTTCTTGATCACCAGGTGAGCTGCTTCCCTCTGCCATACTCTTCCTCCATGATGGAGCTGGCTGTATATGGACTGAGACCTCTGAAACTATGAGCCCTTAAATAAACTTTTCTTCCTCTACAATTGTTCTGGTTGTGTCTAAGTCACAGCAGCAAGAAAGCTTATTAAAACACCACTTTTGCATGTGAAGTATTGTTTTGTGCTGATGGGGATGCTCTTATCTCTTAAATAACAACAGTGAAAGAGTCTATAAAAATGTGGAGTATGTATGTGTCCTTGTCATTGAACAGCCAAGATCCAGTTCTCTGCAAGTACCATGAACACTAAAAGGTATTTTCTAAAAAGGCTCTCAAATGTCAATGATCAACTGAATGAAAACCAGAAAAGATGCATGGCCCAGCACTCTTAAATAATACCTTTTTTGATTAATGAAGGCTAATCTTTGTTTTAGCTTATTTATTTCTCCAGTTGGATGAGTTATTTTCCCCCCAATATTGTTAGAGCTAATATTCAATATATCAAATGTTAAATAAGGTCACCACCTGCCTGTTAAAAAAAAAAAAATCAGTAGATTGGTGGGTTAACTACATGTTACCATTTCTTCTTAATGATATTTATTCAGTAGAAATCATTTATCTTCTAGAGTCGCTGAGTATCCTATAATCGGTAGTTTTATGTTTGTTTCTTTTTTGGTTGAGGCTGGGTGGAACTTTGGATGTCCACCAATTCCCCTCCTTGAAAACTCACATTAGGAAATTATTCTGTGACAATAATTCATAAACTCAATATTAACCCAGTCAGAGCACTTTCTGTCTCATTAAAAGCAGTGAGATCATTAAGTGTCCAAACTATGAGGATCAACTTAATGAGCGTTTTTGAAAAGTCTACTGTAAGAGAAGATTGCAAAAGATGACGGCAATTAAAATGACTTGAAGAACTGGAAAGATTAATGGAGAGTGATTAAGAAGAAAAGTGTGTGGGGGGAATACAAATATACACATTTGCATATGTATGTGTATAAATTATATTATTTTTATTTTAAAAGACCTGCAATGTTTAGAAAATAAAGGGCTACTGTAGCTAATTGGTTGAACTTGGCAATACCTTGAAGGAATATAACTTCTAAGTCTTATGAGCAAGAAAGTATTTGTATGAAACTATGTTCATGGTCCCAACCTTGGGCTCTTTCTCGTACATCATTATACTTCTCTGCCAGAAAGAAAAAATTTTAAATAAATTTTTCTAATTTGGACGTTGCTTTGATTTTTAGGAAGAAATAAATGTTATTTCCATGTTTGTGCTGCTATTGTTTTGACATATGTACATTATGAATTAATTTCCCTAGAGGTGCTGAGTCCGCCATGCCTTAACCTGTCACAGGATGTCATAAGATGTTCTAGGAAGTTCCTTCAGGGGAGTATTTCACCCAGGTGTGTTTAGTATTCAGAACATGCTGCCCATTCTTTATCCCGGTGCTCTCTATGAGCCAACGTCAGGGTTCCTAGGAGCCTTGTTCCTTGACACTTGCCAATCCAATATTAAGGGACAGTGCCAGACCAGCCATCCCCCAGAACTCACATGAGCATTTCCACGAAGCGGATATTTGTATTCAAGGCTTCAATGCTCTTCATTTCTTCTTCAGTGAGAGAAAAGTCAAAGATCTGAAATAATGAAAACAAAAGAACTTTTTTTCCAAAAGAATAATTCTTGAAGGTAGTCATGGCTCAAGCTTGGATCAGGGAGCAGAGCCAGCAGTGGGGTCCCTTCAGAGGTGGACGAGCATCTTGGGGTTGTCCGAGTTGGGTTAGTGTTGGGGGCCACCCATCATGTGGAGCTGGACTCTCTGCTCTTTGTCTTTAAGACAGTCATGCTGAGGACATCTTACAGAAACTGCAAGTGCTCTGAAACAACACATGTTCAGGCAATCTGAACTTCCAAATGCGAAGAACCCTTTTTATTTCCATATATGATGCTGAATTTTTGATTATGGACTACTGCCTTCTTACACTTTTCATTTAAAAGAAATATTTTTTCTTGTCTCTAAAATTGCCCGCTTTTAAACTTTTGACATGCTTTGTTTTATCTGTGAAACACTTTCTCTCATCATTGTTAATGTCTTTTCTACTTTTTCGTTCTTATTGTTTTTTTCTGAGTTTTATACATTTCTTTTTGCACTCTGGTTTTGTAATTGTCCTTCATTAGCATATTTATATTTTATTTTCACTTATTTTTAACAGTTAATCTGTTTATAATTTTCTTCTCTTTATTGCTTATTTCTCTACCCTTTAACTTCTATTTTAACATACTTAATGATTTATAAATTTTAAAAGTACAGAAATACTTATGCTTTTTTGGTATATACACAACTAAATTAATAGATATGGACTAAAAAGGGAAAATTCCTCTCGTCACTCAACACCCTGTCTTATTTCTCCTCCTCTATATTCCTCACAGATTTTAAGCACATTAGGAAGAAAATGGTAGTTAACACAGAATATCTTTATTATCCTATAACTTTTTTTGTGTTTATGCAGTGTCTTAGTGATACTAGTGGCCTTTTTTAATCAAAATGCGTAGGCTGATGTTATTAATTTAATCACTTTTCATAGTACACACCTAACATGATTTATTTAAATCATTCCTCCATGGATTATTTCCAGGTGTTTTCCTTTCAAGGAATGTTTTTATTTGATTATTCATCACTGAAGTATTGGAGTTTATGAGATAGAAAAAGGAATAAAAACTTCATAATATAAAACATCATGAATAAGCTAATCACTTAAAAAATGAATTCTATTCAAACTTCCTTTGTGCCTCGCTGGTAGGTCAGCTTTCCATTCCTGTGAAAAGCCAGGAAGTCTAACAAGGTGAATAAAGTCTTGTAAAAACACAGGATTTCATGAGCTCAATGGGAGGGACTTCAGAGATTTATTCTAATTATAGCCACAATTTTTAAAAATAAGAATCTGGCACAGTTTCAAATCTACTTTGGGAGATATACCAAAAGAATAAGACTGGGAGAAAAAAAATCCCAAGGATTAAGAATCCTTTTCAGATAAAGCCCTCTCTTTATGATCATTCTGCAAAAGCCTTTGAGAAATATGGGACATCATCCTGTGTTTTCACATAATTTTAAAGCATATTTTGAAACATCAACACTCGATTCACTTTGTTTCTTCTAGGAGTTAGTGCACATATGCAATTGGAAGCTAAATTTTGTTGAGAATAAAATAAGCACACTTGCTTTCATAAACTTTGGTTTCAATTTTAAGATAAACTTCCAAATTTTTCCTCTCTGCATTACTCCTAGGCACTGATTTCCCTTGTTTAATGTGGACTGATTTTTCAATGGTACTTTCTTCTTTTCTGGCCGTCTTAAGTGAATGGAGATTTCACTTTAGAAAACCAAACTCCTGATAGTCTCCTCAGCACCTGCATCTCTTATAGTTTTCCATAACAGGAAATGTTTCAAGAAGGAGAGGTGGCAACTGTATTAAATCTGGTGGAAAGGTCTGGTAGGACAAGGACTGGGAGCTAATTATGAGGACTAGCCATGAGAAGGTCCCTGCACCTTGATCAGCTCTGTTCCCCTCAGATGGTTTGGGTAAAGTCTTGGTTTGAATGGGTCTAAGAGATGCAAAGTGAAGCAAATTGAGGGCAACTAGAACAGACTTCTCTCTCAAGGGGTTTGCTGTAAGTGGAAAGAGAGAAGTCAAACTTCTAGAGAAAAAAAGTGAGTCTACATTAAATTTTTTTTAAAAATTCATTCTTTTTAGTTATACATGACAGTAGAGTCTATTTTGACATATTTATACAAACATAGGATTTTTTTTTTTAAGATTGGAGGTTACAGCTTATTTCTTTGTTGGTGGGAGTTATATAATAGAGAGCAATAATTGATGACCCAGGGGAAGGGGATATTTGAAATTGAGGTTATGGGGGAGTTATTGGGTGTTAGTAATTACAATTTTCAAGAACATTCTCTGAAAGCAAAGCAACAAACAGAACCATCTTTCCACACTTCAAAAAACAATTCTCTTACCTGAAAGTTTTCTTTGATCCTTTCAGGCTTAAAACTTTTAGGAATGACCACCACCCCTCGCTGGATGTTGAAACGCAAAGCAACTTGAGCTGCTGTCTTGCGATACTTTTTCCCCAGTGAGTTTAGAAGTGCATCATTTAATAAAGGTGGAGAAGATATATTCACCCTTAAAAAAGAAGCAACACATGCCTATTAGGTTGGGAAGATGAGAACTAAGAGTTCATCAGTCACCCTCCCCTGCCTCCCCATTCACCTGGTCACTTATGGGGACACTTGAGGTCACCTGTAACAATGCCTCTGAGCATGAAGAACTCATTAAAGGAAGAGTGACAGTTAACACAGGGAGGCCAAGAGAGGCAAGTGTATGGAGTTGATGTTTTGAGGATGAATTAATATTTTCTCAATAAGTCTTCGCAGGATTAGTAGTAGACATAGAAGGAAAAGCAAGAAGACAGGAGCAGAGGAAACAGAGGCATAGTTCTTGGAATCCGAGTAGAAAAAAATCCTACACATCCAAGAGAAATGCTGCCACTGAATCCAGAGGTCCAAAAATTCAAAAATTTAGGAACATGGCCCTAGAAACTCTTTGTCAAATAATAATTAAACTAAGATTCATTGAGTATTTCCTACTTGTTAAGCACCGAGAGATAATTTCTAGATTGAATGTGATCAACACTTATCTCATTGAGGAAGGTAGTATCAGCTCTAATTTGTTTATATGGAAAACACTTGAAAAGGTTGTTCCTTTCTCAAGACCACTCAGCCAGTCTCCCAGGGAAGGACCTCCCATCACCTTCACCCCCTCCACCCCACGGAATAATTCCTGAAGAGATGCGCAGCCTTACTCACCACAGTGGATTCCTAGAGGTCCCCAAAGGGCTGTAGGCAACAACAACAATGTCATGTTGTCGACAGAATTTCAAGAGTTTTGGCTGAGTGAAGTAGGGGTGGCACTCGACCTAAGTGATGGCATAGAAGATCAGGGCGCAGAATTAAGGCCTTGTAGTTTAATGCGCTTCTACATAGTTTTAAGAAACCGTTCTTCAGTGAAATCCCTTTTAACAATACAATCACCTCCATCCTGTATATTGCATTTTGTAACCTGGTCTTTTCCCTAAATCTCATGTTCATTTCTCTTTTCCTCAAAAATCATTCCAGAATATAGTTTGTTCAGGTTTCATATAGTACGGACATCTCATGATTAATCATTCCCCTAGTTTCTCATGTTATGTTGTTGCCAGGTTTTTGTTTTTGTTTTCATAACTAACATTTTTTTTTAGGGCTCTAGATACGTGTGGTCAAATCACTTTCTATTAAGGCTGAACCAATTGGCACTTGCCAGTACTTTATCACTTTCTTTATGGGAGTGTTATAATAAAACAGAACACAATAGCTTTACTAATTTGACACAGTCCAAAATCATTAAACATAAGTTTCTCTAATTACCAGTGAGATGAACTTTTGTCATGTTTATCCATTTTCTAATGAGTCTTCTGTGGATTTCTGTTCATTTCTGTCATTGTTTCTGTTGAGCCTTAATGTTTCTCCTTGAAGATTATTTACGTTAGCCTTTGAATTCATAAGGATATGAGCCCTATATATTTAAAAACATAATTACTTTTGCTTGCTCTCTGTTTCTAGTGTTTTGAGAGTTTAGCATTTTTATACTCTTTAATATATCAGTTTTCTTTATGATTTTTTCCATGGCTTCTCTTTGTATCAATAGCTCCAGAAAACTAAAATTCTTTTGTTGTATTTGTAAATGATTTCCACTTTGAAAAAAACTGTTATGGTTTGGAAAACTCACTTGGGACACAATGCAAGATGGGCTACAAGATCCTTAACCCAATCAGTGAACTAATCACCTGATGGGATTAATTGGGTGGAATCTGAAGGCAGGTGGGGTGTGGCTAGAGGAGGTGAGTCCCTGGGGGCGTGATCATGGGGAATATATTTGTATCTGGAGAGTGGAGTCTCTCTCTGCTTCCTGATCACCATGTGAGCTGCTTCCCTCCACCACACTCTTCTGCCTCACCTCCAGCCCCAGGGACCGGAGCTGGCTGTCTGTGGACTGAGACCTCTGAAACCGTGAGCCCCCAAATAAACTCTTCCTCCTCTACAGTTATCCTATAGTCACAGCAGTGAAAAAGCTGACTAAAACAACTCTGATCAAAAGGATATTGATTTTGGAGTGCAATGGAGGTAAAGTGCTTATTTATTTCTACATATCTAGACATGTTTTTCTCATACCATCAACTGAAGACTTCATCCCTCTACCCGTAGTTTGTGCTACTTTATTTTACATTAAGTACTTGTTTACTTATTCATTTTTGTTGAGGGGAGAGAGGATGTACTGAGAATTGAACTCAGGGGCACTCCACCACTGATCCACCGCCCCAGCCCTATTTTGTATTTTATTTAGAGACAGTCTCACTGAGTTGTTTAGCACCTCACTTTTGCTGAGGCTGGTTTTGAACTCGTGATCCTCCTGCCTCAGTCTCCCGAGCTGCTGGGATTACAGGCAGGCACCACTGTGCCTGGCTACGTTAAGTTTTTTTTTGTTGTTGTTTGTTTGTCTGTTTGTTGAGAGAGAGAGAGAGAGAACTTTTTAATATTTATTTAGTTTTCGGCGGACACAGCATCTTTATTTGTATGTGGTGCTGAGGCTTGAACCCAGGGCCATGCGCATGCCAGGTGAGTGCACTACCGCTTGAGCCACATCCCCAGCCCCTACATTAAGTTTTGATTATACTTTGGCCTGTTTCTAAACATTCATCATCTCCATATCTGGCTCTTGCCCCACTGAACTCTGTTTTAAATACTCATGTTGTGTCAATATCTGGCAAGTCTGATTTATTTCCACCTCATTCCTTTTCTGCTTCAAAAACCTTTTTGCTTACTTTTGCCTAGATTTGAATTTACAAATCTTTTTTCCTAAAGACATAAGTTGACAGAGATTAAGATTTGCCCAGGATCCTCTGATGAGATTCCTGTGGAGCAACAAGACTTCCTGACGATAGTCCAAGCTTCTTGTTACTTAAATACTACATCGGGGTCCCCCCCGCCACCCCAGGGGAAGCTGGTAGGCTGTACCTGGTTGCTGACTGGCTTGTATTTGAGTCCTGGTTTGTTCAGGATGAGTTCCAGCTGCCTGCGGTTAAAATTGGAGACGCCAAGGGATTTCACCAAGCCTGCATCTTTGCAAGCTTCCAAGGCCTGTAGGGCAAACGTCAGCAGGTTATGAAAGAAACCTCACAAGAAGCAAGGATGAATACTTGTAAGGCCAACTATAAATTATTTAGATGGGAAAGCTGGGTAGTTGACACCTGTTCTGTGAAGGAAGAAACAAAAGCAGGTGGAGAAAGGCAGGGCTCTGATTGAATGAGTTTGGAAAATATTCTCTACTGTACCTTCCCCTGTTTTTTCACGATGCATACCAGCATGTCAGTGATGATCTACTTCTTGACATCTATGGAGAGTTTCTCTATGGCATAGTACATGATAAATTTTCATAAATGTTCTAGTATGTGTGGCAAATGTAAGTTTTCCTATGTTTGGATGCAAACTCTTTCTCATAGATATATGTCTGTGTACACACAAACCCACATTATACCTAAAATTGGCTTCTGGGTACTTTAAAGGAATGTGTCAGAAGCTTCCTATGTACTAGTAGACTTGTCGATGTCTTCCAGCATTCTATCAATTCTTTTACTTTATATATTTTGAAAATATTTAGTATATATGTGTTTAAAATTGTATATATTCTCAGTAAACTATATTAACTTTTTTCTAAGTATTTAACAATATTTCTTTTTCACCTTTAATTTTTAACTTTAAGGTGGCTTTCTGCTTATGTGCCTCATTTTAATTTTAATCTGTCAATACTTGTCTTTTTTTTCCAATTTGTCTTTTAATAGGACTTTGTATCTTAACTTCTTATTCCAGTTTATCTCACTTCTTCTGTTTAATTTTTACTTTAAAAAAGTATATATATGTTCATATAATGTTTTCTTTAACAAGGACAAGAACTTAGCATGTTTATACTTTTTTCTTTTCTTTTCTTTTTGTTTTGTTTTGTTTTGGGGATTGAACCCAGAAAGCTTAACCACTGAGCCATATCCCCAGCCCTTTTTATATTTTATTTAGAGAGAGGGTCTCTCTAAGTTGCTTAGGTCCTTGCTAAGTAGCTGAGGCTGGTTTTGTTTTCACTATCTATCCTCCTGCCTCAGTCTCCCAAACCAATGGGATTCCAATGCACCACCACACCTGGCCACATTTCTTGGTCTACCCCCAACATCTGTGATGTTAATACTGAAACTTTAATTGTAGTTTATTATGACTATATTCTCCTAATACTATTTGATCTTAACTATGTTATAGATATTAAATAGTTTTCAGTTTAATTTGATCACTTTCAGTTTATACATTTCTTGAAGTATCTTTTAGATCATTGCCCCTAATGGTTTTTCTTTTTTTTTTCCCCTAATAGCCTTTTGATGGGTTTTGTATGTAGCAAAATTTCTAAGCACAAGTAAGATCTGAAGCTATTTTTATCACACATAATTTTTCCTTATAGTTTGGATATAAAATACAAAGACAGCAATCTTTACTCTTCAACACTTTGAAAATACTATATCTTTTTTTTCATCCAGTGGTGCTGGTAATAAAACAAAACTCACATCAAATTAATTTCATGTGACTAGCTCTTTCTTTCTGGAAATTTCTAATTTAAAAAAATCGATCAATTATAATTGATATACAATAAACTGCACATATTTGAAACCTGCATTTTGATGAATCATATGGATGCACCAGTAAGATTATCACTACCATCAAGATTTTGAACACCTCCAGTAGAATGCTGATAAATAATTGTTTAAAAACTGGCTGTGGGTGGGGAGAAGCCCCATTTTATGGTGTTCATCAATTTGTTGTCTAACTATTCACACTAGTGGCAGTCAATCTAACAGGACATCACCAGTGTTGGAGTTAGGAAGATTTGCACAATCAGTTCTCGCAAGCTGGTATGAGTCAGTTTCAGTACACCACTGAAAAGATGATCCCTCTCCCACTGAACTGCCCTGGCCTTTCTGCTGAAACTCATTTGACCTGTTTAGGTCTATTTTAGCACACCCTACTCTGTTCCATTGATCTGTATATGCATCTTTATGCCGACAATACGTCACCGTCATGATTCCTGTAGTTGTATCACAATTCTCAAAATCAGTTAGTAGAAGTCCTCCAAATTGATCCCTCCTTTTCTTCCTTTCCTTCTTTTCTTTCTTTCTTTTTTGTAAGTTCTTTGGCCATTATGGATTATTTGCCCTTCCATATAAATTTTGGCATTAGCTTTTCAATTTCTATTTTGACTCAGATGCATCAAATCTTCATATAAATTTAGGAATAATTAACATCTTAATCATATTGAGCATCAAGGGATTGTATGCTTCTCCATTCATTTAGATCTTTGATTTCTCTTAGAACATATTGTATAGGTTTTTCAATTATTTTGTTAAATTTATCTCTAAATATTTAATATTTTAAAAAGTTAATTTCTAATTGTGTGTTGCTAGGACATGGATGCATAGATTTTGTTTCCTTTTTGTCTTATGGTTTTTTTTTTCATGTTAGGCTTCCAAATATTTGGTGGCTTTTTCAAACAATTTTTATTGATTTTGAACTTAATTCCAATTAGATAAGACAGTGCATTGCGTAATTAGAATATTTTAAAAATTGAGTTTTATTTTATTTCTCAAAAAATGGCCTATCTTGTTAAGTGTTCCATGTGTACTTGAAAAATAGTGTTCCATAAATATTACAAGGTCAAAATGTTGATAATGTTTAAATTTCAAATATTGTAAAGATTTTCCATATACTTATTATTTCAATTAATGGAAGAGAGGCTTTGAAATCTCTAACTATGAACATGAATTATTCTCTTTCTCTGGTCAGTTCTCTTAGTTTATGCTTCATATATTTTGAAGTTCTGTTATTAGGCGCATAGTGTTTAGGACTGACCCCTTTATCTCTGCTAATACTCTTTGCTCTGAAGTCTTTTTACTATAATTGCCACTCCAGTTTTCTTTTGATTAGTGTTAGCCTAGAATATCATTTTCTATCCTTTTATTTTAAAAAAATTTTTAACTTTTTTTTTCCCCTTGCAGAATTGGGGATTGAACCGAGGGGCACTCTACCTCTCAGCTACACCCTCAATTCTTTTTAAGTTATTATTATTATTTTTTTTAAGACAGGATATCACTCAATTGCTGAGGCTGGCTACAAACTTGCAATTGTCCTGCCCCAGTCTCAAGTAGGTGGGATTATAGACATGCACCAACACAACAAGTTTTGTGTTTTTTTTACTTAAAATGAGTTTCTTGTAGAAAATGTATAGTGACATTGGTTATTATCCATTCTGACAACATGTCTTGAACTGGGATGCTTAGATTATCTATATAGTCTGTGATTACTGATATCACTTACATCTCTTATCTTGCTATTTGTTTTCTGTTTTCCCATCTCTTCGTTTTCCATCTTTTTTTCCTGCCTTCTCCTGGGCTGATTGTTTTTCATTATTTGATTTTGCTTCTTTCATTGGCTCGTTTGCAATAGTCTGGAAATTTTAACATTTTCTCCTCACGTCTGGTATTCTGAAATTTCACCCCAATTCATCTAGGTGTGTGTTTTCTTGTCTTTTCGTGTTAGTACTCCAGGATTTGCTCAATATCTTTTTTTTTAACTCAACTATTATTTTTTTTCCTTTTTTTATTAGATCTCTATTATGTGTATACTGGAAATTCTAATTTCACTTTTTGCGTCTCTTAGCTTTTCTCTTTAAAATGTTTTTCTTCTTTCCTTCTTCATGTTGGGAAATCTCATCACTCTGATTTTTTAATTTAATATATTTTTTTCTTAGCTGGGCTCTGTGGTGCACACTTATAATCCCAGTTATTCAGGAGGCAGAGGAGGATCTCAAGTTCAAGGCCAGCTTTAGTAACTGTCTCAAAATAAACAAATAAATAAAAAGAGTCTGGGGATGTAGCTCAGTGTTAACAGCATCTCTGGGTTAAACATCCAACATAAAAAAAAAAAAAGTGTTTTTCTTATCCATATCTATTCTACTATTTATCCCAATTTCTTTCATTGATTTTTTTATTTTTCTGATTATTGTTTTTGCTCATTTAAAATGTTTAATTGTTCTTTTTTCCCCACATTGCTAATATCTTTTCTTATATCCTTTAATATATTAATTGGCTAATTTAAAAATTACTGGTTCTCTGCTTTGTTTATATTGGGATCTGCAACTGAGATATATTATTTCCTAGTGAAACAGTGCCTTGTCATTTTGGACTGTGAACTCATCTTCTCCTAGGGATTTGGGCCACTCTCTCAGGCAGTCCCGCAGACTGGAACACCAGCCTCCAAACCTGGTCAGCAACAGGGAGGTCCAGAGTAAATGTGTGTATCGTCTCCTGAATGGACAGTGTAGGTACCAGAAAACCTACTCAGTGCCTCCTGCACCCTCAAAACTGTAGTTCAGACCTTCAACTGTTACTTCCCAGAGAGAGTGTATAGACAGATATACTCAATGTAAATTACATATTCATGTAATTTCCTAGCCTTTGGAGTTTGGAATGGTGTGTGTGTGTGTGTGTGTGTGTGTGTGCGTGTGTGTGTAAAACAGTTGCCAGAGTTCAATTAACAACGTGTTTTTCTCGGCTTATGATCAGTGCAGGGTTCAATGCCGATCTGATTTGATTCCTGGCCATTGATCGTGAGTTTCTGACTATGGCCGAGGAGAAGAAAGTGCAAAGAGAGGGCCAGTACTCTCTCCTGCATGTACTATCATCTCACTACCTGTTGGGTCGCCTTCTTGTCTAGGTCACAGTGTCCACCCCGCCTCGTAAACAGGCCAGCTCAAAGTGTCCCTCCCATCTCCATGAATTCAAAACTCTTGTTCTCCTAGAACTCCCCACTTTTGTGATCTTGGGGAAGGAGCCAACAACTTGTTCAAAAATAGAACCAGAATTATTTTTTAGCTTTGATGTATCATTTTGTCTCTTTTAGACATTATAGAATTAATTTTTTCAATTCAGTTTTTAAAATTTGTATATCTCATTTACGTATTTTCAATTGCCGTTCCATGAGAACATATCTCCTTTCCTTTTTTTGTTTTTCCTACTTCCACACCTTCCTCTTCCCTTTCCTTGGCCTTCTTCTCCTTAGCAAAACAAAACGAAGAATCATCAGCACCAGGAATGGAGATTTCATGTGTCCGTACTTAGGGTTGGAAATACTGGCTCTGACTGTTAATTTCCACTGGGAGTAAAGGCCATAAACCCGACAGGAATAATTTGATCACAGCCCTGAAAATGTAGTTTTTTTAAAATAAGAGGCCATGTGAACATACCTCCCAAGTGGCACACAGATCTGATTTATGATACAACCACTTGCCATTCTCATCTTTAGGATACACTTCATTTCCAGGCTGCAACGAAACAAAACAACACAACAGAATATTATCCATTTTATTTATATCTGGGAAATAAAGTTATGGAATTTGATTTTTCAGTATACCAATATATCCTGGCCCTGAGAAAGCAATTCAAGCTGACTATATGTTTATATAACTACATACTAAATATTATGTATAATTATATAAAATGATAAATTATTATTCTATACTTTAATTGTATAATAATTATGTGATTAATTATATTAAAACATATCATTATATTATAGCATCACCATATTGTACTGGGAATTCAAGATGACAGATGAGAGGCACCCAGCACCCGCCTGCTTCTCTGTGAGATAGAATTAAGTCAGCAGGTGGGTAGCTGCTTACTGAGGTGGGTGACTGTGGGAGAGTGCTGGAATTCAACAAAAGAGAAGAAAGAGACCTGGAGAAACCCAAAGATTTTGGATACCAGGTGCTGGGAGAAAGAGACCCCAGCATTGATCACACAGCAGCATGTCAGGGGGAGCAGGAATACCCACTCCGGTGGGGATGGGGAAAAGGAAGAGTCCCAGAGAGCTCCGTGAGCCCCTCGAAGATATACAGTCAAGACAGACAAGAGACCTGGGAACTGCGCAGTGAGTGGGATCTGGGTAAGATCTGTGCACTTCCCAGTAGTATATTCCCATGGAGCTGAGAAGAATCTGAGTTTATTGCTCTGGGAATCAGAGGCTCCTGCAATTTGCTACATCTGTGACCCTGGAACCTGTGGGAATTTTACTCAGTGCTTGTATGAGCAGCTCCCTCATGCACCACTTTGCCTGAGGAAAGACTGACACAAACACACTGAGAATTCTGTTATGGGAAACGGGATGGCAACATGGAAGGGAGCAGTTTAAAATCTGCAGTTTTGAAAACCTGTCAACTAAGTCCAAGGGAGTGGAAGCCACGTGTGATTTTGCGTGGGAGCTAAGCCTGAGAGCATCAGGATGATGGGTGGTAGATCACGTGGAACCTGCTGCCCCTCAGTCCTTCCAGCACAGATCTCTGTGGGTTTGTTACCCCGTCCCACCTGCAGGGGGTGCAGGGACAAGCCACAGCACCAGCATTCAGCCAGTGCTTGGAGTGCAGAGCCCAAATAGCTAAAGAGAAACTCCACATTCCATGTTAACTCATTCCATTGTGCAAAGTAGCTGAGAAGAATTCCAACTAGCTCCAGCCACAGGTCATTCCTCAATAGACAATGGTGCACACCACGATTAGAAAGAACTGGAGAGAGAGAGTGTGTGTGTGTGTGTGTTTTCTCTTTAATTTTTTAATTTGCTTTCTCCTTTCCCCTTCCCCTTTGATTTTTAACTTTTCCCCTGCTTTATATTCTTAAATGTAAATTTAAAATTAAAAATTTTTTTTCTGCGTATTTCCCTAGGGATTGAGCCCAAGGGTGCTTATCTATGGAGCCACATCCCCAGTCCTTTTTCATATTTTATCTAGAGATGGGATCTCACTGAGTTTCTTAGAGCCTTGCTAAATTGCTGAGGCTGGCTTTGAACTGGAAATATTCCCGCCTCAGCCTCTGGAGCTGCTGGGATTACAAGCATGTGCCAGGGTGCCTGACCCTATTGTTATTTTTATTGCCACTGCTGTTTTGGTGTTTTATTTTTAAATATTTATTTGTTTATTGTGCACACTTTGGGTTCTGCCACGGAGCTACCCTCCGGCCCAGGGGAGAGTAATTGTGCCTAGCTCTAGTATTGACCTAGCCCCAGTTGAACCTTGGGAGATAACTTCAATTTAAGAACAGGGAGGACAAAATGCCCAGACAAAGACCATCCCCAAGTGGGCACAGCTATGGGGCTCTGGACAGTCACCCCCACAGTAACAGGAGAGAGAAATAAGACCACTGTTGTGGACATGGTACCTATGAGGGCCCTCAGCATTTGTTACCAGCACACCCTCTCAGATTGCATAAGACTAGATGTGAGTGCCACAGAGGGGAGCTGGGATCCTGGTCCCTGGCTCTCCACAGGAAACACACCAGGAGCTGTGTCAGGGTGTAAACAGAGGGTAAAATTCCAGGCCCTTCACCATGATTGCACAGTCAGTATCAGACTCTCTTCCAAGTAACCGCCAGTGTCATCAGTGTCTGTGGAAATCCCCCTCCCTGACAGGGGCTTCTGCTCCGACTGTAGGAATAATCCCAGAGGGTCACCTCTACACCACATCTGCCTGAATTACCAGAGGGACCCCAGTCTCATAAGACCTACAGAGCAAGTGGGCTGCTCAGGCCCTGATCCAATGTGTATTCTGTCAAAATCCACTCATCTCAGCCCAAAAGACAGAGGGAGACTACACTACAAAGTCCAATTGGACTTAAACCCAACACTGCAGAATAAACCACTACCCTAAGATATCACCAGGAGAAGGCCACCTACTAAGGAGGCCCTCAAATAAAAGTGGAGGAGCTATTCATTCCAACAGATGCCAACATGGAAACACAAGAAATGTGAAAAAACAGGCAATATGACACCTCATAAATCTCATAATTTTGTAGATATATCAAAGTGGGTGAAATGATGGATAAAGAATTCAAAAAAGTAATTTCTAAAAAGCTCAATGATTTTCAAGAGACTACAGGTAAACAATTGAAGAGAATGCAGAATGTGAATGAGAAATTCAGTAAAGAAAGATTTTTGAGAAAGAACTAAACAGAAATCTTATAAATGCAAAACCTGGTAAGTCAGATAAAACTTTGTTGAAAGCCTCAGCAACATGCTAGATCAAGTGGAAGAAAGAGTATCATAACTCAAAGACAGATCTGGTGAAGTATTGCATTCAAACAGAAATAAAGAATGTACAGAACCTACAAGATCTTTGGAACATCATTCACAGATCAGATATCTGCATCATCATCATCATGCCTGAGGGGAAGAAGCTATAGGCTGAAGGCAAAAACCAAGCAGAACAAAACCCTGCTCAGTGAAATAATAGAAAATTTCCCCGATCTTGGGACAGGCACAGACATCCAGGCATAGAAGGCATTTAGAACCCCAAACAGACGCGATCACCAAAAAACCTCTCCATAACCTATTATGGTTAAATTGCCAAAGTACAGGACAAAGAAAGAATGTTAACATCATCAAAAGAGGAGCACCAACCAACATTTTTTTCAAATTATTTTAGTATTTTACCCAAGAGTACATTTCACGGCATCAAGAAAATGCCATCCTGATCACATATACTCACCACACATTATCCATGAAGGGAAAAATGGTGATGATAACATAAATTGCTGAATCACCCATATAACTTCCTGAACTCAACATTTATCACAAACTAGCTCTCTTTTCATTCCATTATAGTTCTTTTTTTTACTGGAATTTCCCTTAATTCTTTTATTTTAATTTGTTCTAATTAGTTATACATGACAATAGAATGCATTTTGAAATATCATACAGAAATGAAATATAACGTCTCCTTCTTCTGGTTGTACATGATATAGGATTACACAAGTCATGTAGTCATATGTGCGCATAAGGTCATAATTTCCCAATTCATACTATTGTCCTTCCTACTCCTGTACCCCCTTTCTTCCCTTCACTCCCTCTGTCTAATCCAAATTACCTCTATTCTTTCCTAGCCCCTGGCCCTGCCATCATTATTGTGAATTAGCATCTGCATGTCAGAGAAAACATTCAACCTTGGGTTCTTTGGGATTGGCTTATTTCACTTAGCATGATAGGCTCCACATCTATCCATTTAATAGCAAAAGCCATAATTTCTTTCTTCTTTAAGGCTGAGTAATATTCCATTGTGTGTATATATGTCACATTTTCTTTATCCCATCTTGTTGAGGGGCACCTAGGTTGGTTCAATAGTTTAGCTATTGTGAATTGAGCTGCTATAATCATTGATGTGACTGTGTCACTGTAGTATGCTGATTTTTTAAGTCCTTTGGGCATAAACCTAGGAGTGGGATAACTGGGTCAAATGGTGGTTCAACAAGTTTTGTGAGGAATGTCCACACTGCTTTCCATAATGGTTGTACCAATTTATAGTCCCACAGCAATGTATGAGTGTACCTCCCCCCCCACATCCTTGCCAATATTTATTATTGTTTGTATTCTTGATAATTGCCATTCTGACTAGAGTGAGATGAATTCTTAAGAGTAGTTTTGATTTGCATTTCCCTAATTGCTAGTGATGTTGAACATTTTTTCATATTTGTTGATTGATTCTATTTCTTCTGTGAAGTGTCTGTTCAGTTCTTTAGCCCATTTATTGACTAGGTTATTTGTCCAAATCACATTTAGAGACAAACCTATTAAAATATCAGAAGATTTCTCAGAAGAAATTTTCAAGGCCAGGAGGGGATGGAATGATGCATTTCAAGTCCTGTAAGAAAATAACTGCTGACCAAGAGTGCTGTATCCAACAAGATTATCTTTCAGCACTAAAGGTTAATTAAGGACCTTCCAAGGTAACCATAATCTAAGATAATTCGTGATCACTAGATTGGCATTACAAAGAAACTTAAGGAAATCCTATATCCAGAAGAAGAAGAAAAATAGACACAATCATGAAAGCACACAAAAGAAGAAATCTCACTAGAAGACACACAAATGAAAAATAGGAAAGAGTCAAACATAATCAATGCAGTAAACCATCACACTTCTAAGATAATAAGGAAGAAGTAAACAAAGATTATTCAAAACAACCAGATGAAAAACAACAGAAAGACAGAAGGTACACACCTTTTAATAACCCAGAATGTAAAGGGTCTTAATTCTCCAACTGAAAGGCACAGACTGGCTGAATGGATTAAAATACAATACCTACAACTAAGTTACCTGACCTACAACTAAGTTACCTGTAAGAAAATCACCTCATCTGCACATGCTTATGCAAATGAAAGTGAAAGGACAGGAAAAGGTAAGATCCAATGGAATCCAAAATGAAGCAGGAATGGCTCTACTTACATGTGACAAAATAGACGTTAAAAAAAATCAGAAGAGGCAAAGAAAGTCACTATA